AGTCACCTCTGCGATGGCTTATGCATGTGTTGCGAATGTCTCTAAAAAGGAAGGCTAAGCAGCTCTTCCTTGCAAATCCGACCGGCAGGAGGCCCGGTGGACGGCCAAGATGAACCTGGTATAAATATGTGGATTCTGTTCCAGACTCTGTTTGTCTTTTGCCAAAGCTCAGACTCTGTCACAGAATCGGGAACCTTTGAGGCTCTGCCTGACGTGTCTGCCTCCGCGACCCGAAAGGTGCAGCGTCGATGGAAGATGAAGAGTTAGTAGATTATGTTGCCGATAAACCGACAAAGTATTTTATGGCTGTAGTGACTGATTGCTTGCCTCTTGGCTGAAACGAACTCGCTTCTGCAGAAGAGCAGTCGATCCCGTGAATAACTGCACTTTACAATCAGATTTACTTTTCGGAAGGTCGATGAGATGCTTTCTGAAGCGTCGGTTTGTGTGTTTTACATTAGATAAAACTATTATTTTACATTGTACATAAATTGATGCGTTTTGTATTGTTTTTCTTTGTCCAGGATTGTAACCAAAATATCTCATCTAAAATGATTGATGTTCCAGTGGATACATCGTCGGTTAATCTCTGGTTATAAACTTTTTTACAGTCGGCCATATCTGATTTTGTGTTTCTTTTCGGAGACTGTGACGTTTGAGTACTGCATTGAGCCGTTTTCATACATCTATCACCCTTTCTTTAATTGTTGACCTCCCATTACTGCATTGATTTGACGCATGGCTTAGAGGTAAAGAATTATCAGCGCATTGCAGTAAAATCTGGTTATGGCGTGTGTTTTTGGAGGGACATTGGCAACCTCGGTATATCGGAAAATTTCCGCGGAAAACAGATTTTATACGTGAAAGCATAAACTCATCCCTTTACAGATTTAATTGCACATATTATAAAAGTAACGTTAAAGGAAAAAATTCATACCTGCTCAATTCGTTTTCCATTTAAAAATTGTCTGATATTGTATTTTAACGCGAAAGCTGGTGACGTTTTTGCGTCGCATGCATTTTAATATTTTGTAAATGCGATAGATGAAGATGATAGCAGTTACTTTGTATTGCCATCCAATTAATCACTTCACTGATGTTATCCATTACATTGGAAATTTTTGGGATCTCAGGCTCACTCGTTTCTTCGGATAGAAGGACATCTTACGGGTGGCAGACTTGCGTGACTGCACGACATGAATTTACGTGACTGCACCGTTCGCAGCGTGTAAGGATAAATTACGAAGCCACGTTCATTTGTAGTCAGTGCATTAAAGTAGTTATAATTCTCTGAAAGATGCCAAGACGCTGTTGTCGCCACCACTGTCAAAAGCCTATCGCAGTAAATTCAAATACTGTACTTTTTTCTGTAGAAAATAACTCGCGGTATAATTTGAAATAAAGTTGTTTACAGTGAAAATAAGTAGAATCATTTTTGGGGACATGACTAGACCCGCCGTATATCTTAATCCGTCTAATAGTGAAACGCATCATAACTTGGTTTTACTGTATTTAAAGTAGTTGCGAACTGTTCACATGCTAAATGGAGTGGTTCTTTTGCAGGAACGTCGCAAATATGCTAGCAGATTTGGTGAAAGAAAAGATTAGGAACCAGGATGACGCCCTTCGTTGTCTAGGCGGGTTATTTCGGGTCGTTCTTCAAATGCCGTCGTTCCATTCAGACGTCAAAGTCGGCCGTTTTCTCTTACATTCCTGCATCTGCATCCATCTTTTTGAGGAGAAAGCAAAGTTCGACTTTCTTGTGTAATCTGCTGGTTAAATTTTGTTTTTTACGCGAATTTTCAATGTGCATATTGTCGCTTGCAGGTTTGCTGCCCAAAAGCTTGCTGCATTGGTCAGAGGAGAAATTGTCGAGGAAAGTCCGGATAATCCGATGTTCCAAGAGGTGGCCACTCCTGGTCATTTGGTGCTTATGCTTATTAAAGTATGCTATGTGCTCATTCCTGTTTTACCTTAACTCTCTTAGTTTTAATTTTATGCTTCGATGTTTTCTTAAAGTTTTAAGGTAATGCTTTATTTTATTAATTTTCATAATAGGAGTTCGCCTTAGGCATTTGAAAAGCAGTGGTGAAATTAGAGTATTTTCAACGGTATTACGCGCCTATTGAGCATCATTATACACGTGATGTCCATTACTCACTGGGTATAGTCTAACTATGTCGTAATATTGGACCAGGTGTCAGGGTAGCTACAGTGCACTATTCGCTTTTTGGGGATTTGTGTCGGGACGTAGAGCTAAAAAGTTTTATGCTGACAGGGCAAATGCCAAAGATACGGCGTTATGATTTCGCAACGTTTATTTTCTTGAAAATTTTCATTCAGTCTTTTGTCTTTATTGTTGCGTCTTGTTACCTAGTATTTGTGATAAAGATAATATTCGGAGGATAGACATAACTTAAACTCTGAATTTCGCTGAGATGGCTGCTCTAACTGTTGGATCCACTAAATCTGTATCTTAAAGATGACAGTGATTGTTTTCCCGTTAACGTCAACTGCTGCATGAATCTTTGCCAAATTTAACGATGTTCGAAATTTTTATCTCAGATTTTATGGTTAGCGAGATTCTATTATGGCTCCGTTGCTAATCGTATTTGTTTCACATCTACGCTTAGTTTCAAACTTTTTATTCTACTGTTGATTCCATTGGATAACAAACTTCAAAACATGCTCTGATGCTCTCAGCCAGTTATCAAAAAATCTCACAGGTAAACGCCACGGAATTCGGTGGTGAGATACTCGTGTATGTGCCTTGGTATATAATGTTTACAACTGGGTTCCCCACTATCGCATTGATTCCCTGCCTATCGACGCCCTTTTCATCGACATACTACTGTTTAACCGGTAAACATTGTAGCAAACCCCTGTCTGTTCTCTGGATTTCCATATCATATTCACGCCGTTTGCTTCCATTAGCCTAGGAAACTGTTCAACCAGGCCTCGACTCTGGGGTATTTTAGCACCTGCTGTATATGGAAGCCAAACCATATCACTCAGCAGGACTGAACTAAATCCTTTTCAGACATCTGCAGAATTTCCATATTTTTAGGCATTTACGTCCAACAACAAATGCTGCCGATGTAAATGACAGTCGCCTGTTCATTCTGTTTATGGATTCAAAATTACTAGTTTCTTACCGCCGCTGGGAGTAAAAATTTCCTGCATATTTTTACGCCATGTAAATGAAGAGAATTGACAGAAGATTGTTATTCTTATCAGGGGTATAGAAAATTAGCCACTTGGTAACGAATAAAAAAATACCAATGTTGAATGTTAAACGAATCCTTGAAGACCAGATTTCACAATGTATTGCACCTCCGCTTGTTCTCATTGTCTAGTAGAACCATTTAAGCAGGTCTCAGTTGCGTGGCATTTAAGCACCTGCAGTGATAAAGCGTCTCGCATTGTTTTGTCTATCAGAACTACCTCGCGCTTGTCACGAACGGTTCTTAAACAGCTTCTACTTTTCATATGCTACTGTCAGTTACCATTTACTATGACGAAGTCTAGCCTTAGAGCAGTCATTTGTTACATGATTTATACGAGCTTGCGACAGCTTATAATGTTCATGAAATATCAGGGTTATGTTTCGCATATGATGCCTATGAATGGCGCCATTTTAGTCGATGCCCGAGGTTTTTGTTCACGTCATCTCAGTGATGCGGTTTTGTATTCATGCACGGCAGGTGTCAAAATGCCATTAAGCCACTGCCTGCTTAAACGGCCCCATAGGCTACTAGGTGCAGGGGGGCTGATGCGCCTACGCTGTGAGTCCAGAGAACTGACAGGTGAACTTTATTCCTACCAGCAGTATCGAAAACTAACAAGAAGGTTATTAACTTGGTTATTTTGAAATGTCACTGCTCAATATCCTTTTGTCTATTTTATCATTTCAAAATGAATTCACATTCACAGTGGAACATTTTCTTGGACCAAGTTGTGCGATATGTCTCTTGCTATCTTCATCTTCTTCAGATTCGCTGCTGTAAATCTTTAAATTATGACTCATGAATTAAATTAAATTTAATTGAAATTAAATTACAGGAAATGTTGTTTTCAGGACCGCCTTCAAGCATCGCTATATAAGATCAGAAGGATACTTCAGGATGTCGATTTCTCGAATCAGCAAGTGCTTTTGAGTAAGTACGAAACCAGGGTACTTTTTGACGTTTCAAATATGTTTGCAAAAACGGAGATTTTGCATCTTTGCTTATGATCTGCCATTTCCGAAGCAACAAAATTCAGCTTTTGCTTCTAATGCATTTTCATTCATTTATATTCCCGCTGTTTTGAATTGTCTACTTTTGCATGTTTACCTGTCATTAAGACGAAATCTAATTTTAGCATAGTTGATTTTTTCGTTGGGTAAGGGAGAACAACG